TTCCTGTGATTTTCCCCAATCTCTGTACACATTTGATTCAGCCAGGCTTCTTTAGCTACTTTGCATTTGTTCACTATTTCTTTTTGTATTTTAGAGTATTCCTCTTCATAATTCTTTTTCTTCCTTCTTTCATCCATCAACTGCAGAATATCGGTTGACATCCATTTTTTTTTTGGCAACTCTATGGGTTGGTGGTTTTGTCTCTTTTTATGTCTGCTGAATTGACTCATGCAACATATCCCACTGTTCATCAATAGTCTGTATAATTTCCATTGCATTATACCGGTTTTGTACAGTGACATTGTACTGTTTCTTAATTTCGTTATCCGTTCTAAGAATTCCTAAATTTAACTTGATGTTCTGTGGTGTTTTTCTAATGTTCTTTAGTTTTATTCTAATTTTTCCTACAACTGTAACATGGTCACTAAAGCAGTCTGCTCCTGGTCTAGTTTTTGCTTCCAAGTTCACAATCTTCGAGGATGGTGTTTAAACCAGGTGTTACCTATTATCATGCTGTGCGACTCAGCCCATGCTATTAATCTGTCACCTCTCACATTCTTTTCTCCTAGGCCATAGCCACCCGTTATTCCGTACACTTTTTCACTTCCTATTTTCGCGTTAAAATCTCCAAGTACCATTGTTACTTCACAATTTTTGCATTGATCAACAGTCATAAATGCGTCAATATCTTCCCCTGAACTATCTGCTGTTGGGGCATAAATCTGTACTAAGTTGATATCAAACGGTCTGCCACGAAGTTTTACTAATAGTACTCTATATGATATTGTCCAAAATTCTTTCACAGTTTTTGAGTTATTTGGATCCAAAACAATACCAACTCCCTTGCTATATTCCTTCCCACCTGAGTAAATCATTCTGCGCTGATCTGAATACTGTTTCCCTGCTCCTGTTTATCGCATTTCACTAATTCCTAATATGTTGATGTTCATTTTCTTCATTTCCATCTTGATGTTATCCAGCTTTCCGTTTTGTGTTCTGACATTCCATGTACCAATGTTCAGGATGTTTCTACCATTTACTTTTTCTACAGTAGCTTGATGACGGTTGTGTATCACCCGTAGAACATAATGCTCCCTACCGGACGAGGTGATTCCACTGGAATACCCATTCACGTCGTTATCTGAATACGTATTATTTTGAGGCATGATTGATTAGGGATAATACAGCGGTGGTTTCCTCTTGCTTCCGCCGGTTTGTATATGTTTTGACTCCAATAGCCTTTCTTCTTCTTCTTCTGCGTTCGACATCAGTCATGCTAAACATTAAGGCCCGTCCTGGGTCACAAATAGGATTGTGCGTTTAAGGTCGCCACCGGTCCCCCATAGCTTCTCTTTCAATGTGGCTCCCTTGTGCCAGATCCAGTCTTTGCTGGGAGAGGTAAGGGAAGTACTGTAGTATGTGCCCAGGGGTCTGTCTTTCTGCTCCACAATCACAGGCAGCAGATTCTTTTATGCCTATCCTGTACAGGTGTGCTCGAAGACCACAGTGTCCAGTCCGAAGTCTAAAAATTGTTGTTTGTTCTTTCCTGTTGAGTTTGTTTATGCTGTCACTCTCTGGTCTGTAATCTCCATTCTGCCTTCCCCACTCCTGCTTGAAAGACTGCTTTGGCGCTGTTTTGATTTCCTTGTAGCTGTGTGGTGGATGAGGTTGTGGAAGATTACTTCCAGCTTTTGCCAACTCATCTGCTCTCTCATTTCCTTGAATACCACAGTGGGCTGGTATCCACTGCAAGACCAGTTCTGCTTCCTTGGAGAGTAAGCCAATGTTGATCCTTAGATATGCAATTAGTTTGTCTTGCTTTTTGCTTGATAGTGCTTGGAGAACAGACAATGAGTCACTAAGTATAACAATTTTGTGCCCTTTGTGTTCTTGATTGATGAGATGTTGGACTGCAGAAAGGAGGGCAGTTGCCTCAGCTCTGAAGTTAGTGCAGATGTCACCTGCTGGTAGAGAGAGAGAGAGAGAGAGAGAGAGAGAGAGAGAGAGAGAGAGAGAGAGAGAGAGAGAGAGAGAGAAAGAGAAAGAGAGAGAGAGAGAGAGAGAGAGAGAGAGAGAGAGAGAGAGAGAGAGAGAGAGAGTTTCTGCCCTACTGCTAAGGGGTTTAATGTATATTCCACAACCCCCCTTTCTGACAGCATCTGTAGCAGAGCCGTCGGTGAAAACCTGAGTCCAAGTGGTGTTTGGATACTTCTCATCAAGCATAGCAAGAGCCAGGGTTCTCTGTTGTGTCTCCGTCTGGGCATCTTTTAAAGTGATCCCTGGTACCTTTAGGACTACATTTGCCTTCTCTGGCTTGCTTGTCCATGGTTCTGGCCTAAGTTTTTCGCACAGTGCTACATCTCTTTCAAGCAGTTCTCTGTGCTGTCTGTACAGTTCTCTAGCAAGGTGGTTGGGGCTCTGACGCTTCAGTCTGTTTTTTTTTTTTTTTTGTTCTCTCTTGAAATTTAAAATGCAGTGGGTGACTTTAAAGTCGTTTTAATTTCTCATACTGTAAAAGAGTTTTGTATTGTATTCTGAGTTTGAGTGGTTCGGTATCTGCTATCCTCTCTATCTCTCTGATGGGGGTGGTTTTCATGGCTCCGAGAACAATCCTTAATCCCATATTCTGAACCTTGTCCAATTTTCCCATTGTTGTCTTGGCTGCTGCAGCTCATGCAGTGGAGGCATATTCCTTTGTCTAAAGAGACACCCTGCAAGGCAGCGGGGGGGGGGGGGGGGGGGTTGTGGCGCCTCTTACGTGCTGATTGCCATGTCGTAGAGTTTTGAGGTATTTTATAGAGTTAGCTGTCCCACCAACTAACTCGCCTCCTGTCAATGACCATCACCTGTTTTGGTCCACGTCCACTTATTCAATATATTTGTGGCTAACCTCTTATTCCACATCACGTTTTTTAAAACGTTGCTAACGTCACCCCTTAGAGATCTGTATATTCTCCTCTCCTCGTTGTTACCTTTGTGTAGTTCACTTCATATTAAACAAAGGCTGCCCGGCCGAAACGTTACGTTATTTGTGTTGTTTTGTTCACGTTTTCTGCTTCCCCATTTGGCGGCATTTGGTTAAGCTTTTTATGTCAAATTCCCCTGGAATTCCCCCTCGGTTTTGTTTTCCTCCACAAGCCAACGTGGAACCTGGAACTAGCTCCATCAATGACACCCCCCTTCCCCCAATCTTCGCAAAAGATCTCTTCCCCCAAGAACCGAACCACACCGTCTGTGAGACGAATTTTGGTATTCTCCTAGAGCTTGTTTTGCGTGCACATTTATTTTACACATCTGACCTGTTTGTATACAGATTGTTGGTTCCTCGCCTCTCATGCAGAAGCACATCCCCAATTAGTCAACTTTTACGACGTGCTTGATAAGGGACAATGGGTCAATTCTTTGTTCTTTATAATGCAGCCCCTGAACCAACACTGGGGATACTGGAGATCTAATAGCAAGTGGTCAAGCCGTTTGCCTCACACTCTGATGGTCGTGGGTTCGTTCCACGGCTGCGTCCTTTAGTTCACTAGTGCAATTTTCATGGAGATCCCTGGTGATCGTTGCCGGGGCTACGTAGTTCGTGCTCTGCGTGGCGCTCTCGGCAGGCGTCTAGCCGTTCTGCGGCGAGAGACCGAGCCATATGGGATAAAACCCGGTGCAGTGAAGTCAATCCTGTCAACTACCTTTTTTTTCAGCAGCCAATATTCATTGCGGAGACGGTACCTGATTGATTTATCCATAAAATAATTGACGGATTGAGCTTTTTTTGGAGAAGAATTAAACCCTACACCGGACCGAAGGAGGTAAACAGGGTTGCCATATTGGCATTTTTTATGCCAGATTCCACAAATCTGACATATTTGAAATTTAACTGGCATAAGATAATAAACTGGCATATTTTGGCATATTTGGGTTTTTCCTGGCAATATAGACCTACAGTTAACATCTTTATTTCAGTTTGACTTTGTTGTGATGTCCTGGTACCGACTAACGGAGATTCGAGCCATTTCTTTTGTATTTGTTATCTTCCTAAACGGATCGTGACTACGATAAACCAAGGCCCTCTGTAATTTATGTTAATCTACTAGAATAAATGCGGGATATAAAACCAAAACCCACCACTGATATCAAGTGATTCAGACTGTTCAGAAACTACTTGAGAACAGAAAATAGAGAGGATATAGACCTAGTTCTATCTGTGATAGATTTTATTGCTTCTACCAAGGCCACGTCATTCAAAAAATGGAAAGCATCTTACAACATTGCAAGTATAATAGTTACTTGAATAAACATACCCACGGCTCAAAAGATCTTCAGATGAAAATAGAGGCAGCATACCGTAAACTGTGTCAGTGCACTTATGCACCAAGAATTAGTAGCATTTCAAATCATAAAAAATCCGAATAACACAGGATGAAAACTCCGTCAAAAAGCCGGTCACCGCTTATTACAGCAGTGACTCCTAGGCAAAGTAATGATAAAGTTAAAGGCAGCAGAGTTGCAACTTTCTGTAAGCATGACCAGCCATTGTGCAATACACACAACTGATTGTCTAAATGAAATCTTGAGAGCGCGTAGTCGGGGGAATACACTGGAGCACACACAGTTGCATAGAACTAAATGTTCATGCCTAATAAAAATTAAAAAAAAAAAAACGTTATATCGCCCGCACTTAAGGATGACCTTACTGATGCTTTTCGGAACAAGAAAAAGTTCATCATTTTAGATGAGTTGCAAAGACTTTATCATAGCTAAGAAAATGGTTAAAGATTTTACATTTAAAAAGGTTTACGCTGTATCTTCCACTGGTTCCAGTGAGGATGACAGTGAAGAATTCAATCTAGAGCTTTTGATGTGAAGTGAGTACAATGTTATATTTTATTTGGCATTTTTCTGGCATATTTTTTGTAATGATTTGGCATAAAATAAAGTTTTTTTTTATCTGGCAACCCTGGAGGTAAAGTGAAAAGTCGAAGAGGTCGTCTGCTGGCAACAACATGGCTGACCTCAGTCAAAGTTTGAAGGATTACATGTCGCGCTCCAGTAGCAAGGAGGTTCCGTCCACATCCAAGTATTCACTCCTCAGCCCTAATAAATGGTTCTCGTCTGGTGAGGACATAGAAGATAAGCCTCAGACTGAAGCTGCCAACGGCTGGTTTGTTGACGCCCAGTCGGACCCCTGTCTTCCTAGTCTGGTAAACATTTTGTTTGGTTTTTATTTGTATATAACTATAATAAAATAACAGATGCATACTTAGTGATTAGTGAGGGCTATCGTCACATCACTAGGCAGATCCATAGGGGCCCCGATCTCCTCCTCGAAAGCTCTACAAGCATAAAATGACTGTTATCTACTGACTAATTAAACGTCTTGTCCCCTTGTTAAATTTTTCATTTCTTGTAGCTCCAGGTTGCACCCCTATGTCTATAAGGACAGGCATGAGTAAGAGTCGTTTCTTTTCGCTATTCGTCTTGGCGGTAAGTGCTATACATGACATTGATCTTCTTCTTCTTCTTTCGTTCGCCTGAAATAAGTTGTCTATATCAGCAATTTTGTATCTTGTATAAATTTCACTGTTGTTAATTCATTCAGTGGTCCATAGAGTTTACGTTCCACTGTTGTTCTTTCTGACCAAAAGGTTTGCCTTAATGTGTCACATTCGGTGCAATCCTGGAGTACATGCTCTGCTGTCTGGGGCACCTTTCCACATGTGCACATGGCTGATACGCCTATCTTGAATTTTGTGTACATGTGTTTATGTAATCGGTTGTGCCCTGTTCTGAGGCAGAGGATAATGACTTGTTCTGATCTTTCCATAATAAAATAGTCGTCTTGTGCTGGGGCTGGTGGTTTCCTGATCGATTTAATGATTCTTTTCTTTTGGTGGGATGTGACTGGTACATCGGACTTCACTTTTGTCGCACCTTCTCCAGCCAGTTGATCAGCTTTCTCATTTCCAGGCACTCCATAATGTAATGATATCCACTGCATTACAACTCTTCGCTGAAGGCTGAGTTGTGTCAGCAGTGTTTGCAATTCTGGTAGTCTCCTAGACTGGAGTGCTTCAAGTACTGATTTCACATCTGTCAGCATTACCACATACTGTGAGCCAAGATTGATATTTAGCAGTTTCTCTGTTGCTATCTTGATTGCCTGAGTTTCTGCATCATAGTTATGGCAGTACTTTCCGGTTGGTAAGCTGGACTTATCACTATACCATCTGGGAATTCTATGTACACTCCAGCCCCACCATTTCTAACTGCACTTTCTGTGGACCCATATGTATAGACTCAGACCCATTGTTCTTGTGTGTATTCTTCATCAGTATAACTGAGGGTGGCCATTCTGCGTTGTACACTATCTTGTTCTTTCTTGTCAAATATTCCTTTAACATTTGTCTGGATTTGTACTGTTAGTTTGCATTTCTCTTTCCATGGGGTTTGTTCTGGAATACTGTTAAGTGGTTAACCAATTTCTGGAAGGTCAGCAGTTTGTCTACATATTCTTTTTGCTTGATGTATAAAGCTGCTTATTTTCAACCGTCCCAAGGCTAGGTTCTGAAATCTGGCATACTGAGGAACTTTTCAGTTGCAACTTTGTATCTCTGCGTTCTCTCAGTGCCTGTGTTTTCCCAGCTTTCTCCATTTCTATTATGGGGGTTGATTTTATCCCTCCTGTGATGACTCTGATGACTCTCCTTCTGTCCAACGCTAGACCAGCCATAGAAACTACAGTGTTTGCACAATAATCTGCACGCTTGCTGCCTTGAACACCTGCATTACGGGGCACAAAAGTTGGTTAGACCTACCATTTGTGAAATGCTTAGTGTTACAATTCATTCTTGTCTCATTAACGCAGCCTAGATTTAAGTCATAAAGTAGGCACACTTTTGTGAACTCCTGAGTACACAGCCATGCTAATGCCCATGTTGCAGTCACAGTTTCCACAGCGAGGTTGCTGTCTGTACCAGCAAAGGCGTCCTTCATCTCCTTGTTGGTTCCCCCCATGATCTCACTGTGAATACTCATGTATTTCGCTTGCTCTGATTTACTGATCTATCTGTGTAATCTATGATATAACTTCTGTTTTATGTTTTCATCAATCAACCTTCTGACTAAATTGTCTACTAAACCAGGAATCTGCTCTCTGCAGCTTCTATCCAGTGGGAAATGGACTGTAATCTCAATGTATAGAGCAGCAGGCATGGGTATCCATTCACTTTCAGAATTAACATCAGTAAGGCAGCAAATCTGTTAAATGGCATCCTCAGCATGACCCATACCCATTCACAGTGGTCTTTTTAAAGTCTGTTCTATTTCAGTTTGAATAATTTATCATGAAGTGGGTGTCAGGTGTCTAGATAGGTTGATTGTGTTTTCTATTATAGGGAAATCCAAGAGGTATCACAAGGATTGATAGGGATGTCCCCAGTGCATCCAGTTCAGTAAAATTAGTATTACTTTAACTCTTTCAACCCCAAATGTGTGTTTGTTGAACTCCTTATTTTCCAGGTAGTTGTTGCTTTAATTAGTAAATTTTTAGATTTACAGGGACTGAAACAAATAACACTGTGGGACAATGGAAACTGAATTAACAGTTGGGATATAATAGATAAAAACTAACTCTGAATGGACTACAAGGTGCTAATAAAAGTATATTAGATCAGGCACTTCCAGTAAATGTTCGGTGAGTTGCTTGGTAATGATACCACTGTAGTCGTAGTTGAGGTTTCAGCTTCGCTGCAGCCCGGTCACCCCCATACGTACTATGTTCCTGTGTCTGTGAAAATCAAATGAAGTGCGCCTCCCTGCCCAGTGCCTCACTAAAGATAACGGTTTAAAAACTTAGGTTACCTGCAGTTAAGGATCCAGACTACAGATCTGATGCATTAACATTGCACCATGTATTGTCCATTCTACTCAAAGTTCCACTAGATTGATATTGAAAACTGAATAAAAAATTCACTGAACTGCGACTAGGATAAGGAAGCTCAAATGGGAGTGAGAGCAAAAACACGCACACAAACAAATGAACATTTTGTCCAACACCTTTGCCAGCGAGCAGTACAACAAGATTTTAGACTGAGTTTTGGTGTAGTGCATACATTGTTGATCATAGCTGCTCTGACTTCTCTCTCATTTTATATTTAATGATTACCATGGCAGATATACACACCATTTGACTTCCGGTAAAAATGGACGCTAGGCGGGTGGACTGTTTAGAGCCGCGGCAAATTTTTTGCTTCTGCCGGACTGTAGCCGATGCAGTTTTGCTCCATTTGTAGACTGGATATAGTTTCGTCGCCCAGTTTCTGAGTTGAATGCATGACGTGACACTGTGAGCTGCGGATTTCATTTGGAATGTTTTTTCGACTGTAACCAACGTGGTGGTGTGAATTGTAAGTTCAGAAAATGGTGCGACGCCTGTCGTCACAATGTTGGTGGTGCCCGTATGTGATTAAAATTGATCGCGTGGGCAACTGCTGATCTGTTGGTGACTGCTACCATCAATGATGAACTGCATTTCTAATGTCGGACTGTTTGTGTTAGCACTTCGGATGGCTACCGTATGCTTTATTGCAAGTGTATGCTAGATATGCTGAAACAGCGGTCTGTCAATCTTTCCACAAGGGACTGTGATAAACATTCTGTGTGTTTTTCGCTGGCACAGGAGCGGAGCAAAGATGGGGTGACCCGTTTGCTATGAAGCTGAAACTAAGACTACCAGACTACCATACACACCACTAATAATAGGCTGTCACAGAAGAAAAGGAAGCACCTTCAGCCTAGAGTCGGAGTATTTTAATCACCTGAAACTTATCTCAATTAGCTATGTTTTATTTTTATGTTGATGCTTGCTTGAACATTATCTTTCCCCTCTAGTAGTTTTGATGATAAATCATTCATCCCACTATTACCATAGATGCTATAAAACAGTTTTGAATTAACATTTTTCTCATTTTTGTAACTTGTTAAACATTTGTCTTTCATTTTTTTTTCTTTAGACAAAGAAACAAAGAATTTTAGGTTTTATTATCTGCTTGTTGATGGGGACCTTCTGTCTGAGTTTGGTAAGTTGAACCAACACTGTTGATGATATCTGTGACATAGTTTGTGCATTCACTTGTATGTTTGGAGAGGTGTGCACAGTGAGGCACACAAGCAACTGTGCCTATGACTTCAGTTGTACTAATTTTTATCATGTAAATTTGTATGTTTTAGCATGAAGTACTTCAATTAAAAAATATCTTACACAATCAATCGCTCTCATTTAATGTCAGAAAGCGGGTGCTAAAATGTTACATAGAACCTATTCTACTGTATAGCAGCGAATCTTGGAATGTCAGTGAACAAATTAGGAACAATTTGGAAGCAGCAGAGATGTGGTTTCTGAGATGAATGTTACAAATACATTGGACTGCCAGAGTAACTAACAACAGTTGCTTGAAAGAAACTAATGAAAGTAAATCTCTATATACAACAATAAGGAAGAGACAAACACTGTTCTTTGGCCACATAATAAGGAAAGAGACATAGGAGAACATCGTGACAACTGTAAAGATCAGTGGAAAAAAGGGGTAGAGGTAGATTAAGAGTGATAATGCTGGATGGACTAAAACGATGGCATGGAGGGATATCATCAAGAGAGCTGTTCCAGGCAACAAGGGATCATTATCTGTGGAGACGCATGAGCGCATACACCAGTTGGCAGGGCACATGATGATGATGACTTCAAGCCATGTTGAATCCATACAAAATTTTGTACACATACAAATTATTTGTAAGATATTGAATACAGATATTTGCTTTAAATAAAGTTTCTGTAGTTGAATTATGGAACATGTTATTAAGATTCTTGTGTGGGTTTCAGGACCCTATTTGTGGGATGGGGGGGGGGGGGTGTACCTACGGCCTTGCTAAGAAACATATTGTAAAAGGTGACACTAATTGCCAACTACCCTTTTAAGGGCCAGCACAGAAGAAGATGAGCATGCAGACTTTTACTTTATTTAGTTCATTTGAATGTGAGAATTATGTCTTTTTTAGGTCATTTGTATGTAAGAATTTTGTCTTATTAAGTTCATTTGTGTGTGATAATTTTTTTGTTTCTTTTAAATAGTTAATTTGTGTGTGAGAATTGTATCTGTGATGTTGTGTTATTTGTTGAGCATTTAGTGTGTAATGCTGTTGAAAGCAATATTGATAGTTGATCGTGTGCTGTGGTTGGTTGTTTCAGGCCTGCTTGTACCTTCCTATGCTAGTCCTCAAGGCCAGAAAGTTTGCCCTCTTATACTCACTGGGTAGTATATTCATCATCTCTAGGTAAGGATTATGTTTTTGAAAATTTCAACGGCAGAACTAAAGAAAAACAAGACACGAGACAGTGCTTCTTCTACTTATAATCCATACTGTGTGGCATTAGGACAGACACGAAAGTGCGAAAGACACCTCACAGGTTGCAAGAGGATGTAGAGAAGCTAGAAAGTTAGAAAAAGAAATAGTAGAAGAGTTAAGGAGTAGAAGGCTAAATGAGAATATTTTATGAGCGAAATTGGAGAGGATAAATAACCTGCTAGGTTTTGGAAACTTCACAGACAGATGCAAAGGAAAGATCGACCTATCACAACAAGCATTAAATATACTAATAATGGTATGCCAGTGACAACAAACAAAGAGAAAGGGAAGAGTTTTCCCCACTGTATTGGAAGCTGCCACTTAGACTATGCTTGTCAAGAACTTGTTCCCCCGTCCTACTGAATCTAGCTAATACTCAACACTCAAGGGAAAGGTCAGTTGGATATACAATTAGACATCACAGTTGGAGCTCCTTGCTTGCTTTTGAAGATGGGGACAAAGAACTTATGGTGGGAGTGTCCCAAGTGCTGTGATGTAGATTCTTAATTCAACATTCAACACTATAAGAGGAAAATTTGCTGACTGCTGTTGTAAGTATCATTGAAGCATTGCATCCTGTCTCCTTATATCCACTAGTAGGAATGCAGAGGTGCTGAACCACATGTGGTGGTGCACTGAGTGAGACCACAGCTTATGCTGGACAAGACCTGCCTAAACCTCTCCATTGACATCCTAGAAACAGGTTCCCAGCTGGGGGCCTGGCCAACTCAGATAGGATCAGTGTTTTCTTTGGTTGGAGTGCATCTGTGTGAAAGCTGAGGAACCGTTAGTGTGCACACAGATAAGCTAGATCTGTAAACAAGATGTGCATGCAGAACTCAAGTTTGGGAACAAGACCAAAGTCCAGAAGTTGACAAACAGCTGGAACTTTCCTCTGGAATTCATAGCCGTTGAATCTGAAGAAGAAGAAGAAGAAGAAACCCATCATTATCAGGTCTATAATTGTCTGTTTCACTTTGCAGTTTTGCTCTCTTGTGGGGTCCTGTGCACCACGTAAAACACCTGTTTTCTGTGGATCGTCTCCCTTTCACAGCAACCTACTTTGGGACCCTGTTTGCTACTGTATACTTCTCCATGTGGGTAAGTCAGATATGATTTTGTGTCGGCATCTGTGCCTGTTTGATTCCCTGTATACAGCCTCATTTTAGAGAATTAAAAAATACACCCACTGCCCCCAATAAGCATGTCATAAGAGGTAACTAATTAGGGGTGTTTTCTATCTAAGAAGCCAAGAACCAACAGTCTGCATACAAAGCCAAATCTGTAAAATGATTATGCACGCAAGACTCAAGTTCTGGAACAAGACTATGAAGTCCAGAAGTGGATGAACAATTAGAACTTTCCGCCGGAGTTTAAAACCTGTAAATGCTAAAAAGAAGAAGAAGACGAAGAGAGAGTCCGTTTATACCTAGAGGAATTATTCTGTGGGTTTATGGAGTAAAAACATATGAAGAACTAACCAACATATGGTATAAAAGGTATGACCAAATAAAATCCACCTCACTGACTTTTTACAATGTATGAACTGTATATCAGCTGATGTAGAAAGCAAACAAGCCAAGCAGATTTAAAACAAAGACAACTATTGTGAGCATATGCTTTGGACTGTACAGAAACAGATCCCCAAACAATTACCATTACAGCTTTTATTGCCTGTATGGGACCTGTGAAGCAAAGAAAAATAATACTATAACCTTGTGTATTAACCTTGCTTATCTGTTTCCTCATTTTCTCTTTATTTTTTTATTTTGTAGTTGTCCATTATTTTCACTTTGACATGTATTATTTACTGATTTCTGCTGACCTTTCTCCCAGGTTCAGAGCACACTTTTCACAGTCATCTTTGCCCTGGCACAGGTCATCGCCTTGATCTGGTAAGTGAGGCAGCCTTATTCCACAGTTCCTCTTTCATCAGACCCAAAAGTGTTATGTTTCAACAAAGTGGCTTTATTGAATGTAGTCATCAAAATGAAGTGGGCTGGGCACTTGTTGAGCAATACAAGCTAGTCCTTGCTTCAATCCCCAATGGCGGCTCAGTACAACCGGGGTGGGGGGGGGGGGGGGGGGGGGGGGGGGGGGGGGGGCGCGCTCATTTTTCTGTCCAGAGTTATTACATTACAACACACGAACTCAGAGAGTTACTTTCCTTGCCGTTCATCCCTGGTCATGTCATAGGCTTTGTATTATGTTGCAGGGGTTTCATGCTTAGTCACTTTCTTTCTGGGCCCGACTTCGTCAATTGTTCTGTTATTACTAACGTACGGTTGTGTCATAGACCATACCACGTTCATGCCCCCCCCCCCCTTTTTTTTTTCCTCCCCCCAAAAAAACAACTGGGCTTTTGAAATTTAACTCTTTGAGTCCCAGAAGGGTTTAGCATTAGAGGCCCTAGGGGTGGTATTTGCAATTTTGAAATGTCACAAGTGAAACACATTGAAACAAACCATACTAATTCACCTGCCGTGCAACATGCACATAGTATATATCAAAGGGACCAGGGATTGGAGAGAAGTAATATTTGAATACTGCTACCCAAAAAAATTGTGTTAGTAGTTACTTATTAGTAAATAAACAGATGGTATGTTTAAAGAAATTAGTAAAAAGAAATTCAAAAATGTTCAAATTACTATCAATCAAACTCTAAATATATCCAGAATGAACATGAACCCCTTAGTAATGTATAAATAAAATATAAACACAGTCTGTTCATTAAATCTTGTTCCAGAGAAATTTGTGATTTTGAGAAATGTTTTATCTAAATATGAGACTTCTAAAGCCATAAATCTTGTTGGCATGCATGAAAAAGCCTGCTTGGAGGCCATATTGTTTTCACACAGACACTTTGTAACTCAGTAAAGCTCACAACATGCTAAATTATATACTTTTAACCACGTATTTGAATATGCTTAATAGTCAACACGTGTGACACCAAACGCAGGAAACAGCAAATACCATTCAAAACTGCTGGTTTGCGTTGTTACACTGGCTGATGGTAAATTACAAAACTGAACATGTCTCGTGCCTATTGGTCACCTGGGTAGTAAGCAATTAGCAGGTGATGCATTTCTTGGGTCTCAAAGAGTTCATGTTTCCAGTTAGGGTCTTGGAGAGCCACTTTGTTGGGGAAAAGAAGAGACTCTCTGCTCCGTAACATGCCTGTCGTAAAATGTAACTAATTAAGGTTGTGCTGAAATCATATGCATAACTGAGATAAGAAACAGAATAGGACAGGCAAAAACTGCATTTTATAAAATGAAGAACCCCCCGTGTGGGTTCCGGGGCCCCCATTATGGGGAAAACAAGAATAGACCCACTGCCTCCCCAAAAGCATGTTGTAAGAGTCAACTAATTGGGGAGTTTCCTTTGAAGTCGGAGTGCATCTGCCAGACAGGCAAGGAACCAACTGTCTGTATTCAAGAGAATGAGATCTATAAAACTGATGCACACGCAACGCTCAGGTTCTGGTGCAGGACTGCAGTTCAGTAGTGGACGAGCAAACCAGAACTTTCCGCCAGAGTGTACTGCTGGTGAACGCGAAGAAGAAGAAGAAGAAGAAGAAGAAGAAGAAAATCAAGAACATCTTGTGCTATATATCCTTGTCAATGAGAGTTAGAAAAAAAAGAATTCTTGCTTGCTACATACATCCAGTTTTAAAATATGGCTGTAAATCCTTAACAATCGCTAGGCAGGCCAAACAATTTCTTGAGGCCTCAGAAATGTGGTTTTACAGAAGAATGCTTAGAATACCTTGGACAGCTAAAAAGAGCAACCAAGAGGTTTTGAAAGAGGCGGGAGCCTGAAGACAATTTATAACAGACATCAGAACGAGAAGGAGACGGTCATCATTTTTCAGCCATGATATGTGAAGGGGGAAAATAGAACATGTTGTGACCACTGGAAAGATCTGTGGAAGGAGGGATAGAGGAAGACAACGAGAGAAGATTCTTGACAGTCTTGTTGCATGGCATTGAGGTGTGTCAGCACACAAACTGATACATGCCTCAAAAGACCGTAGATTATGGAGAGGCATGATTGCCCATGCCAGTCGGCAAGGCACATGATGATGATGGGCAGATATTGCTGTAAACCACAGCACAACATGCCAACAATATTTTTAACTTGAATTCAGAAGAAGAGAAACTTAAAAGTTCCACAGTGATTCCTAGAATACTGTGGATAAAGAAGAAGAAGAAAAATGCTGACAGCTTACAAGATTGGAACATGGATGAGCAGATGTTGTCTGTTGTAGCCACATGGCAGATCTCAGTGGCTTAGATAGAACTGTACTGGAGGCAGGTTAACTGGGAGGAGAAACAGGGTCTGACCGGCATGGAAGTGAACACATGACATTAAAGATACTCCCTCTGGGGAAAACAAAAATAGATCCACTGCCTGCCTTTTGTAAGAGTTGACTAATTTGGGAGCTTCTTCAAAGTCAGAGTACATATGCCTGAGAGGCAAGGTGCCAACAGTCTGCATGCAGATGAGTCAGATCTGTAAAACAGATGTGCATGCAACACTCAAGTTTCTGGAACAGGACTAGAGTCCAGAAGTGGATGAACAACCAGAACTTTCTGTCATGGTGAACATGAAAAAGAAAGATTAAAGATAATTTTTGCAAGACAATGAATGAGGCAGAAGAACTAGTCAAAGATCAAGAATCTTTGTGCTGGTCACGTGTAGAGCATTCTACAGAAGACCTGACGTGAACAGAATTATTGCTGTGTTTGGTTTTGCAGAGCGTGAGCATATTTAATCATGACCAGACTGTCAGATAGAACTCATGATCACTGGCATCATGAGAGCTAATAGACTGAAATAGCTGGGGCATACTGAAAGAATGTCAGAAGACAGAGGAGTAAAAACTGTATACACAAGGGAAATGAATGGTAGACCATGAAGACGATGGAGAGAAAATGTCCAGATAGACCTGCAAACACTTGGTGTCACCAACTGGAAAGAGAAGGCCAACCATAGAGATAAATGGAGGGGGTGATATCTGCAGCAATGAACCTCAAGGGCTCGGAATGCTGAAGAAGAAGAAGACTGTCAGCTAACAGTTTCTTCTTGGCATTCAGATCATCTTCATTATCTTTTGGATTGCCGGATCACATAAGCTTTCTTGTCTCTGCACAGATCTCTGTCAGTGGCATTCTGGGTGAATTTTGTTGATGATATTTTTCCTGCCACCATCTTAGATTATCCAGTGTAATTTTATTTTGCTGCTTCTTTCTTTATAAACCACTTGGCCATCATCGTCATGTTTTCCAGTACCTCTTCTCTCATCAATTTATCAAAGAACACTCATTCTTTCTTTTAGTTGTTTTTAATATTATTGTTAGCTTTTCTAAGGCAGTTGTTACAAGCAACTGTTAGTTGCTCTTTTATTTTCTTGATAATCATTTTATGTATTCTGTTATATGAACATAAAGTGCTTCATAAATAAAATGCAGATGAAGTATGAGAAATGACTTTTTGGCAGCACTGAATGTAAAAGGCGCCTGCATGCCCAGTTTGTGACACTTTAAATATAAAGTTTGTTAATTTGTTCTGGTTGTCCAAAGTATTCATAACATCCATCCCAGAAAGCACCTCCCCAGTCAGATCACAAGGTTATGATATATCTGTAGTCCTGTTGCCAGAACACAGTTAATTATTCTCTCCGAGTCTGCACCAGAGCCCTTGCACTTCTGCTTCACATCTGTAATCCCTGCAGTCTGCACACAGTTTTGTAGACATGTTAAACTATACACTGTTTAAAGCTATTGTTTTAGTAGTAGTGTCATGTGTAGTTGAGATTCTAAAGCAATGATTGTTGCAACCTTGTTGGTCTGCAGGTACATTGTCAGTTACATTCCAGGAGGACAGAGGGGACTCAAGTTCTTCACCAGCATATTCTATGCAGCAGCTTCTAAGACAGTAGGGAAGACTCTTCCCATGTAGCTGCTGCTGCCGGTTGGTCCCTGACACAGCTATCCTGCTGTTGATGATGCTAGTGGATGGGCATACGGGAGCAAGTGTTCAGTGTATTCTATTAGCTGAGGAGACCATATATGCCATCCCAGTCCAAGTACTCTGTGTTGAGCAGATGATGAATGTTCTGATAGAAAATTTCACAGAGTAGGAGGTCAGAAAGAAAGGGGTAAGAGACAGAGAGGGAGATAGAGGCAGGAGACAGACAATGGAAGATAGGGATGGGAGACAGGGAGAGCAAGAGAGAGGTGGGAGAAAGAGAGGGGCAAGAACCAGTGTGAGCTGAGACATGTAAGAGACATTTCCAAAAGCTGTGATCCATGACTTACACAGATATCTTATATCTCAATTGTTTATTGTTGATAAAAACTAGCTGAAGGTGGGAGAAGTGTCAACATTTCATTCATTCATTCAACCTATTGTGCCATTATATAGGGCTTACATTCTGTCTTCCCCCCCCCCCCCCCCCTTCCCCATTTCATTCTGTCCTGTGCAGTCCATTTGAAATCGTGAATTGAATCCAGTTTTTGGCCTCTCTGCCTTATAACGGTTGTTACTAGGGATTTTCCAGTTATTAGGGATTGTCCAGAAATTTCTCTTATTTCTTCACCCATCTTGAATTCTTTCTATTTATCAGCATTTAATGGTTGACAAATTCTTTGTGTGTGTGTTATATTTTTAAAATTATTATGTGGAAAAACTGCATATATTTTGTATTTGTTTTCTGTATATGAGAGAAAACAAGCTCACTGTACGTAATTCATATTGAATCTTTTATGTTTGTTATACATTCCATATATGGATATATCATGTCTGGCTGGTTTTATTAAACAAACAAACCGTTTCCTTCTCTGTTGGCTGCTCCCTGAAGGCTTGTCACCATTGGGACTCAAAAAATGGCATCCTTGATACCAGTTCAACCTCCTAAGAAGTTATCATTGAGGAACCATTAATGGCTATACCAAGCACTAACCTGATGCCCACAGTGGAGAGGATGATGTTGCTTGTCGCATTTTTTTTCCCACAATTTGTACAAATCCTGACAAGATGACATTACTGCAGTTGATTGGTGTTCAGAAATGCTGTGTGTATTTTCCCCCATGTGGGTTCCGGGGCCCCATTGTGGGGAAAACAAGACCCACTGCCTTCCCAGCAAGCATGTTGTAAGAGTAAACTAATTGGGGATTTCTTTCAAAGTCAGAGTGCATCTGCCTGAGAGACAGAGAGCCAACAGTCTGCATACACATAAGTCAGATCTGTGAAATGGATGTGCATGCAATACTCAGGTTCTGGAACAAGTCTCCAGTCCAGAGGTGGATGAACAACCAGAACTTTCCACTGAAGTTTACAGCCGGTGAACGTGAAGAAGAAGAAAAAGAGTATGTATTTTAGCAATCAATGCTGGCTTTGAGGGTTTTTTCAGGGGTTTGATGTCTTGTCATTGTTGCTGCAGCTGATGTTGATGATGATTATCTGGGGAGATTTCCACAGCTTCTCTCTCTGTTTACTTATGACCAAATGTCTGTTGGTTGTAATATGCACACTTCTAGCACCAACCAGAGCATGCCGTCACTTCTATACCTATTCCAAGTTTTGATGCTCTGGTGCATCAGGTCGTGCTGTCATTGTGACATCAAGTTGTGACAAAGCTTCCACCATTCATCTGTCACATACTTTCAGAACTTTGTTTAGTGCCTGGTAAGAAAGTTTGTTGGTGAACAAACATTAGACTGCGACCTAATGTATATAAAATACCTCAAATCTCCATGCCGTGTGCAAAACAGTGTCACAGTTTCAACCACCTACAGTAGAATATTTACTTTATTGTGACACCATCATAAGATTTGCTGCCAATGTGCCTAGCATATACAGAAAAGGTATCATATAACTTTTGAAGGCAAGCTTCAGCTCCCTTACATTGACTTTAAACATATTCAGCTTTGCAACTGAAGGTGTGCAGTAAGAAAAATTTCAAGAAAGGGGGGGGGGGGGGGGGGGGGGGGGGGCTAGTGGAGACCACCATATCACTGTCCAGAGAAAAGATTTATTGACAGGTTTAAAGCTAGACTTTTTTGGGGTTTTGTTTCTTTCCTTCACCCACCCTCTTTTCCCTTTGTTTTTCAAAAAAACATTTGACTTGTCAAGTTCTGTGGGTTTTATATGGTAAACTTTGCTGTATTTCAGAAGATAACCAGCCTGACAGATGTTATTTCTGTGTCAGGAGACAGAGGCAGGGGTTGAAGTTATAAACTCATTACAGCAAAGTTACACTAATTTGTTTCTCTTATCAGTGACTGTAAAATTTACCACATGCTAAAGAAATATAGTTGCTTGTTTCTTGTATTGCTTCCAAGTGTGCGTTTCGAGACTCTGTTTTGGGTGGGGGTAGACCCATTGCTCCCCCCCTTTCCCCACCCCAAACAAGCATGTTGTAAGATAGGGATGTTTCCTTAAAAGTTGGTGTATGTCTGCCTACGAGGCGAAGAACTTACAGTCTGCATACAGATAAGCCAGATCTGTCAAATGGATGTGCATGCAACACTCAGGTTCTGAAAAATGACTACAGTCCAGAAGTGGATAAACAACCAGAACTTTCCTCCGGAATTTAAAGCTGATGAACACACAAAAAGAAGTATGACTAACGAATGTTGTGCCTTCTATACACCACTGCTGTTTTAGGGGTCATTACATGGGAAGGACTCAGTCTCATCTGAAGTTGAGTCTAAGTCGAGGTTTCAATGTCACTTCAGTTGGGTCACCCCATACTTGCTCGGTTCCTCTGCCAGTGAAATCAAATGAAATGTTCCTCACTGTCTATTTGAAAAACTGGTGAACAAACAATTAATCCCGGCACAATCTAGAAATATGCACCCACAGCAAATGCAAAAGGCAGTTGCTAGAGACGCCAAAGACAACAGTCGCCACCAGAAATAGTTTGTCGTTGATGGAAGCAGTGGGTCATGAAAAGCTGGCTATACACCTGTAAAATTATTACGTAAGGTATTTTGCCAGCTTAATCATAAACCGGCTACAGGCCATATTGAATACGGCGAAACAGCTCTTGTGGTTCTGCCTGGGAGAGAGGGAACGTGAGGTTTTAATCCTGTCTGTCCTACCTTGGCTTCTTCCAGTGCCTGTCTAGAGCAGAGATGGGTGGTCTTAACATTTGAATTCTCTCCTTACTACCTTTCTTGGCTTCTTCCTCTTGGTCTGGAGCAGATGCTGGGGATTGATCTCATGCTGTCCATACTACCAAAACCCGATTATAGTTAGAAAAGTGGTCCATTTAGTTGTTTTTTTTCCACCCTATCTTGGGGATTAGAAGATTTCATGGGGAGTTCCTAGGAAAGTTTGATAGTATAGGGGTGTTAGAGTGTGAAATGAACACAGACTAACACCCCCACACCCCACATTAGACTTTCCCAAGAACTCCACATGAAATAGATGGGGTGAACTAAAAGGAAAAGTACAAGAAAATCTCTTTAAATGGAGCTGGCGTGGTGTAGTGGCTGGACACTTTTACCTACAGATCCGAAGGTTCAAATCTGGACGGTGCCTGACTTTTTCAAAAATGACCTTGGCTTCCACCAACTAAAATGGGTACCAGGTAAAAGCCCTGGGAAGTAAAGACGGCCAGCGTGATGCTGACCACCTCCCCCACCAAGAGTCGATTGGCTGCTTAAAATATAGGTCTTGGTCTAAATGCTTATTACGCAGGAAGGCATGACAAAGGGTCCTTCACTGCTTTGTAATACTTCAAAATTCATGGATGTTGGAATGTCTATCACTTATCCATGGATGTTGGAATGTCTCTCACTTATCCATGGATGTTGGAATGTCTCTCACTTATCCATGGATGTTGGAATGTCTCTCACTTATCCATGGATGTTGGAATGTCTCTCACTTATCCATGGATGTTGGAATGTCTCTCACTTATCCATGGATGTTGGAATGTCTCTCACTTATCCATGGATGTTGGAATGTCTCTCACTTATCCATGCATGTTGGAATGTCTCTCACTTATCCATGGATGTTGGAATATCTCTCACTTATCCATGGATGTTGGAATGTCTCTCACTTATCCATGGATGTTGGAATGTCTCTCACTTATCCATGGATGTTGGAATATCTCTCACTTATCCATGGATGTTGGAATATCTCTCACTTATCCATGGATGTTGGAATGTCTCTCACTTATCCATGGATGTTGGAATGTCTCTCACTTATCCATTGATGTTGGAATGTCTCTCACTTATCCATGGATGTTGGAATGTCTCTCACTTATCCATGGATGTTGGAATATCTCTCACAATTGTAGTAGCATGTTAGACAAAGGGAAGCCACCAGAAATATACAAGAAGTTTATTTTCACAGTGAGACACCATGACAGTTCAGACACGTTTTCTTACCATCCATTCTCACAACTTTGGTTTTCAAGTTACGCCGTCATTATTCACTGCAAACACTGTACACATACAATCATGACACACAGCAAACAGAACAACAAAACAATGTTAATGGAAAGATGAACAGTAAAATTGTGTTCACAGCTTCAGCCCCTTGATGTAAAATAGTTGAAGTATTTATAAACCTCACCCAAATGTGGGATGTAATTTTACGTTATTTTAAATAAAGCCTCATCCGGTTGTAGTATGGCGTTCTAATATAACCTAACAGATGAATGGGGTTTCTCTGGGAACTTGTGCCCGGGTGATCCTCGTCCGAATGTAGGCACTTTGGTGTTGGTTGCTCATTGTACGGTCCCAGTGGTATTGAACGCCGTACACACACAAGTATTTACATTATTGTGACATAGGAATTATTGCCAGTGTTTTAGACACAAAACAAGACATTATTTGGTAAGACGGCAACTTTTTGAAGACGAGCTTCAACTGCCTTACACTGGCTGCTGCTCTCTTTAAGTATATGCATCCTGACAACTGAAGATGTAACAGGACACTTTCCCACGTCTTCAGGCTTACTGGGCATATAGGGCTAGACCTATATTTTATAGACCAATCGGCACTTGTTGGCTGATGTGGTCAACATCATGCTAGCCGCTTTTACTTCCCATGAAATTGCCTGGTACAGATTTAGGGCTGGGTCGACCTAGGAGTCAAGGTAATTTTTTAAGGGAAAAAAACGTCTGGCTCTTTAAGGACCTGATCTCACGACCTTGGGATACCCAGGCACGCGTAAACCAGCCTCATACAAATCTCCTGTTGACACCTCTTACGACATGCATGGTGGCTAGCATGGCTACTATTGTGCCTCCCATGTGGAACGTGGTATCACACCAGTGGAATCAGATTAGAGTCGGATTATATAGGAGGATATGAAAGGGGCTGTAGAAGATCTGTAAAGATAAGATGGCTTGGCATGAGGACCTCTGCTTCTTTGCAGCGATTGGGGAGAAGAAGAGTTAAAGGACTTGAAACTTAAATAAAAACCACACGGGAGAGAAAAGTTGGAAACAGGCGAACAAGAGGTAGACAGCGATCCGAGTGGGAGAAACTATAAGAGTTGGACAAACAGCAGTTTGAGAGAGTGAATAAAATTGATGAGAAACCAAGAATGCTAGAAATCCATTGTATCTAACATTAAATGGGGTGGTGGCACCAGACTTATTTCTGTTGTTGAAGCTATCTAGTGGTAAGTTTGCCTTCATTCTTCTGCATCAGATTGTTGGCAGCCACTTGAGCGTTTCACGCCAAGAAGAGTAAAGACCACATCGACGCTATGTGTGCTAACTGTCGTAGCTTTGTGGAATAAACGCCAGAACACATCCAATTATCTTTTCAGGTAGAACGATGACAAAGGACAAACATTGTTAAAACGTTGGAATCAACGTATAGTCTATGACATTTGTTTCTTCCTTTGTTTCATTGAATGTCATCTGGAAAGCAGAGAGTTTATTAGGCCAGATTTTTGACACAAGTAAAGTCTTGGATTTACACTCAGTAAACTTCCGAATCACTTGATGGCATGGTGTGGTGGGTTATCCAGTTGTGTACCTTTACAGATGTCAACAACAACATAACAAAAAAATTTAGCTATATCTCTCAAGAAAACGTCCACTCCTCCTTACACAGACCCTCCTTGCAGGCCTGGCACAGATCAGAGTTGTGCTGATTTCGCGGCTTGCCCTGTCGACGATCAATCCTCAGCAGCGGTCGCACAAATCCATAGAACACTTGGCCCACTCGGTTGTAGACATTGCCCACTACCTGAAAGTAGATGTAGATAATTACAGGCTCATGCAGACGTTGCCAGTTACGGGAAAGTAGATACAAATCATTAGGCTACATGTTATTGTAGACATTGTCAACCATAAGAAAGTAGGTAACGATAATTACAGCTGTGGTAAATTTTGCCAACTACGGAAAAGTAGATAATTACATGCTGTTGTAAACATTGCCAACTACGAGAAAGTAGATGTAGATATTTTAAGATGTTATGGACAGAGAATGAAGTGGTTTGGCCATTTAGTAAGAATGTAACCGGATTAGATTGCCTATAAGGCCTTTTACAGTAAAACATCGGGAAGAAAGGCCAGAGGAAGACCCAGGAAAAAATGAATAGATGGAGTAGCTGAATACGGCCAGAAGATCCAGAAAACTGTCACTCAAATCACGCGAGAGGCACAAAACAAATATTTTAAACCACGACACTGGGCTGCAACCCGGTAAAAGTGAAGAAGACAATAGATAGATAGATGGACATGGCTAATTACGGGATAGCAGATGCAGATTACATCAAGGAAGATTGGCTAATAAACAGCATCCTGTCTCGGTAGCTGAAATATTTTGGTCATATCAACCGCCGCGACAAAGTGGAAACAATTATAGCAGAAGGCATGGTACCAGGAAGGAGAAGCAGGGGCCGACCGACACGAAGATGGGCACAGGATATAAGTGACTCCTTGAGTATTAAAGTACACGAGGCAGGAGAACTGGCGAGAGAACGAGTTTCTTGCAGCAGACTGATGAAATTGACATTCTGCAAATGACTTGCTACATGATGATGATGAGATGTAGATTTTTACATTGCCAACTACGTTAAAGTAGGTGTAGATAATTATATGCCGTTGTAGATGCTGCCTGCTGCGGGAAAGTATTTGTAGATAATTGGGGCCATTGTAGACTTAGCAAACTGTGAGAAAGTAGATGTTGCCTACTACGGGAAAATAGATGTAGACAATTACAGCTGTTTTAGACATTGCCAACTACGGGGAAGTGGATGTAATAATCACAGCTGTTTTAGACATTGCCAACTACTGGGAAGTGGATGTAATAATTGCAGCTGTTTTAGACATTGCCAACTACTGGGAAGTGGATGTAATAATTGCAGCTGTTTTAGACATTGCCAACTACTGGGAAGTGGATGTAATAATTGTAGCTGTTGTAGACATTGCCAACTACTGGGAAGTGGATGTAATAATTGCAGCTGTTGTAGACATTGCCAACTACTGGGAAGTGGATGTAATAATTGCAGCTGTTTTAGACATTGCCAACTATGGGGAAGTGGATGTAATAATTACAGCTGTTTTAGACATTGCCAACTACGGGGAAGTGGATGTAATAATCACAGCTGTTTTAGACATTGCCAACTACGGGGAAGTGGATGTAATAATTGCAGCTGTTGTAGACATTGCCAACTACGGGGAAGTGGATGTAATAATTGCAGCTGTTGTAGACATTGCCAACTACGGGGAAGTGGATGTAATAATTGCAGCTGTTTTAGACATTGCCAACTACTGGGAAGTGGATGTAATAATTGCAGCTGTTTTAGACATTGCCAACTATGGGGAAGTGGATGTAATAATTACAGCTGTTTTAGACATTGCCAACTACTGGGAAGTGGATGTAATAATTGCAGCTGTTTTAGACATTGCCAACTACTGGGAAGTGGATGTAATAATCACAGCTGTTTTAGACATTGCCAACTACTGGGAAGTGGATGTAATAATTACAGCTGTTTTAGACATTGCCAACTACTGGGAAGTGGGTGTAATAATTACAGCTGTTTTAGACATTGCCAACTATGGGGAAGTGGATGTAATAATTGCAGCTGTTTTAGACATTGCCAACTATGGGGAAGTGGATGTAATAATTGCAGCTGTTGTCGACATTACCTAAACCCAGAAAGTATATAGAAATCAATTACTTAGTTCCCTGTGTGAGTTCCGGGACCCCATTTTGGGCAAAACAAGAATAGACCCACTGCCTCTTTAAAAAGCCGACTAAATAGGGATTTCCTTCGAAGTCGGAGTGCATCTGCTAAGAGGCAATGAACTAACAATCTGCATACAAATAAGTCAGATTTGTTAAACGGATGTGCATACAACACTCAGGTTCTGGGACAAGTCTAAGAGGTGGATGAACAAGCAGAACTTTCCGCCGGAGTTTACAGCCGAGGAACTCCAAGAAGAAGAGGAAGAAGAAGATGAAGATTAGTTAGGTATGATTACCCTGTGATTCTGGTGATCGTGTGTCATGGCGAGGCATACTAACTCACACTTGTCAACATAGTAACGATGATCAGTTTTGATAACCACCAAGATGAGATCAGTGAAATCAAATACATAATCGATCATAAAACGACATGATGATGATGATGAAAAACAATGAGAAGAGTGACGACGATGATGACGCGAATCTGCCTGACCTTGATGACCTCCTCAGGATACCACATGGCGTGTTGGTATCCCTGGCTCTGACATCGCTGGCATTGTTGTCCGTACAGCTTGAACATGACGTAGCCGCAGTTTATGTGGTAGTTCAAGTGGAACCAGAAGATGACTCGCCCTTTCATCGACGTCCAACCGTGGCCACACTTCTAAAGACACGATCGCATCAGAGTAAGATATAAACATTGTGTGAAAAAATGGCGGGAAGGGGAGGGGGAATATTCCGGTGTCTTGCCTATTTTTCACCAATTTTTACTTTTTTTTTTTTTGGGTCGTCATATATTTCCACGTCCTTCTGTTGTTGCTTCTGTCACTCCTCTTTGTTTTCCGTGCCTATGGCTCTCAGATGAGAAAAGCACAGGCCTTTATGAAGACTGTTCTGCGTCGCATTTCTTCCACTCATCCAGACAGATTGGTTTCGACCGGAATGCCAACTGGCCACATCAGGAAACGTATCCTTAATTCTCGAAAAATATGAATCTCTGTGCATCAACTTTGATGTTTTCCATATATTTTCTTCAGCCTTTTCTCTGCTTCACCCCCCTCTCTCTCTCTCTCTCTCTCTCTCTCTCTCTCTCTCTCTCTCTCTCTCTCTCTCTCTCTCTCCCCCACCCCTCTCCCCCCTCTGTGTGTGTGTGTTTGTGTGCGGTCGTGCCTATGTGAGTACGTGTTTCAACTAACCTGTTGTCACATTATCCAGTGTATTTACTTGTGTCATGTTCATGTATTAACCCATAGATTGCTCACATATGACACAGGTAACTAATTCGCGTCCTTTAACAGGTTTAGTCAAGACCGCCTCACTGTTCACTGCACCCGTTGCTCTCAAGTTTTCACTGTCTGGTGGGCCCTCGTAAAGTCAGAGTGTGCACTTTGTCCAGGATGTCCGAGCGCTTGCAAGCCTGCATTTATTGCGGCGCAGTTGGATACTGATCTTTTCTCCGCCCAGCCGGAACAACTGTACCACTTCCTTCTGTAGTGCAGAGTTCTCGATTACTTCTCCAAGCTCATCAATCAAAGATATATATATATGCTTGACTGCTAATGCAATTTTGGTTCTTTATTAATATCTTACCCCAGATAACGTCACAGGACAGTCCAACAATTTAGAGGGTGGTAAGACTGGGTTTACCGGCTTTCTGACCCCAAAACATCTAGAACTGGCCCTAAACTCTACCCACTCAACCCACGAGAGAGTGCAGCCTAGGTCCCACGAATGCTTGCAGTGTAGGTACCACGACTGCGTTCAGCCTATCTACCACCACCTGAAATATTAGACTGTCCCGTGACCTGTGGATTTCCCCTGTTTAAGGTAGGATATTAATAAAGCACCGACATGTCTCATAACTAGTGTTTTTAGTGTTTGTAGTTCTGTTGGTAGTATTAGTAGTATCAGCAGCAGCAATTGTAGTAGTTATAATAGACACAGCGATATTAGTAGTAAAAGAACCCTTTTCCACGCCTTAGATGTATTAGGCATATAGGGCTAGGCCTATATTTTATAGACCAATCAGCACTCGGTGGGTAATGTGATCAACATCACACTGACCGTCTTTACTTCTCAGAATATTACCTGGTATCCATTATAGGCTGGGAGCCAATGTTATTTTTGACCAAGTCCAGCTCCGTTCGGATTTGAACTCACGATCTTCGGATTCGCAGGATCCATAGCGTCTAGACGCTACAACAATTGTATAAAAAAGTAAAAGTAAAGGACCCTTTTCCACGCCTTTAGGCGTATAGGGCATATAGGGCTAGACCTATATTTTATAGACCAATCGGCCCAAGATGGGTGATGTGGTCAGCATCACGCCGGCCACCTTTACTTCCCAGGACTGCACCTGGTACCCACTCAAGGCTGGGTCGACCTGGGAGCCAAGGTCATTTTCGAAAATAGTCCGGATTCGCCAGGGAGCGAACCCACAACCTTCCGATCCGCGGCGAGCGTCTAGCCGCTCGGCCACGGACAACAATTGTATGGCTCCCAAAATTAGTAGTCTTGGAAGTATAAGGAGCAATACTAGCGGTAGTGTCGGTAGCAGCAGCAGCAGTAGTAGTAGTTGTAGTTGTTGTTGTTGTAGACGCAGCAATATTAGACGCTGATGGAAGCTAGCAACCGTAAAAGTATACGGCTCAATAGTGTGGCTGTAGTTGTTTATTAGCAACTGAAGCAGCGGTTGCAGCTGAAGACACAAACGACAAAAGGGATAAGAGAACAAACTCACCAGGCATGAGAACCTGACCTTGGCACTGTCCTTGAAGACCCGCCATCTGCCAGTGGGCTGGGATAATGTGGGCACCAGGTACCAGACGTGAGGGAAGTACTGGGCAAACAGGCGGTCAAACTCTCCGTGCCACACCAGCTCCATTCTGTCATCACAGAGAGTTACATAACATTGTTTATGCTGTTTATTTTATCATCATTATCATCATCATCATCATCATTATCATCATCATCAAAACTATCAGTGATTTTTTTTTAAACTGTCGGTATACCACAGTAGGCGGAACTGACACCCTTTCAGCCATTACTTGTTGTCGGCGCTACTGTAAAAGACACTTAGCGATGAGTACCGGTACTTTTTTATAAATACATTGTGGTGAGCTGATGATGATGCCGTTCAACCCCACCAGGACATCAAATCGAGCGATTAACATCCGGTGACCCAAAGTACCACCATGAGGATAGCCCGGGGACAGATCCCAAAAACCCCGTTCAACCCATAGGTTGGGTTATATTAGGGCCCCCGGCAACCGCCAAGGTGGGGGTTTTAAACAACAACAAAAAGTGCGTCCGACTTTGGGACGCAGGTTTAGTACATAACCTATTGTGGTGATTACCGACAGCTATTTTTTTTTTCTAGAGAAAGAAAACATTAATATTATTACTACTATTATTATTTAATATTATACTGTATTAGATTTATATTAATGCACACAGGAGAGATGGCAATTTAGAACATTAAACACTCAAAGAGGTTACAATCCGGAAAATCCCAGATACCCTATTCAACCCTTAAAGAGGTTACAATCCGGTAAATCCCTGATTTTTTTTTTTTTTAAATTAATGAAACTGTAGTTTAATTTGTGAATACATCTCATCGATAAAAACTGTGGACGCAGAGGGACTCAGTTCTTGTACAAGAAGGGGAATTCCAGTTTTAACTGTACGGCCTTATAAATCTGGAGCTGGCTTTGGTTGATCCCAAACACAGTCCTGGAACAATTCTCATGAAGAGACTGCAACGTTTCCCTGTCTGTCATCCTCACTTCAAGCAGGTCATACACTTCGATCAACTGCTACTGATACATGCTGACTCGTCCTTGCCCTGACAGGAACTGGGAACATTCCAGCAATTTGCCAAAAAGACTCATAAAGCTAGCAAAACTTTCTCGGTAAATCCCTGATACCCTATTCAACCCTCAAAGAGGTTACAATCGGGACACCGATAACAGTTGCATTAATCAGGCTGGTGTAAATAACAGTCCTGTGAGGGTCTGACAAGGATGATTCTCGACCATGGATTCGCCTGTTAGGTTTACTAGAAATGCAAAGTTAATTAGTTAGTTAGTTGGGTTATCCTCATTGCACTCCGGACATGTCCATAGGTGCTCAGATCCTCCCCTCAGTATGAACCCCAACGTCCGATGGCTAATAGTACCAGTTCTATGTTGATTAACAAGTCTTCTGGCGTGTCTGGTGTGCGTCTCGTTTTTTGCTGTGCCGATCTTAATTCCCAAGTCTGCCATTCTGGCGAGTGATGTGGATTCACTGCCACCAAAGTCCTCTATCCTTCCCATTTCTCTGAGGGTATTGATAATATCAGCATGATCCATAGGCTGACCGTCGGTAGTGATAGCGGATCCAGCCAACCTGTCAGCTCTTTCATTTCCATCGACGCCTGCGTCTCCCGGAACAAAAATAAAGGTGACTCCACGCACAGTGGACTTCTGTAATGATTCAAGCCATTGCCTTCGCACTGAACCTGCCTGAACCCTCCGGATCATACTCATTGAATCACTGAGTATGCATACACGGGTGTATTTTTGTGTTTCAAGCCAGGCAAACGCTTGCATCACTGCCATCACCTCCATCGTCATGCTGCTGGTTGCAAAGGCTTCAATTCAAACACAAACAGATGTAGTCACATCTTTCATGGAAACACGGTTATATTAATTAAAGTGTCCAAGTTGTTTACGCTATACATGTTCTACGGTTACTTCACACAACCCACCGGTTCTCTTCACGCACCCACTACACCAGGGCTTGCGGGCCAGATCTGGGCAAGTAGCCTGTGGATCAGTGCCAGATGTTTTCTATTTTTGATGTTCAGGTCTCTGGTCCGTGACTGACGATCCCCTTTTTCAAAAGTTGGCCCCCTCAGTAAACTTAGTTGTTAGCCCTGCAGAACATACACGTAGAAAACAGGCTTTGAGAAAGTGGCTCCAGAATCTTCTAAAGCCAGACTAAGCCGAGGATCGACAACACGTGACCAGATAATCCGGCTACAACATCTCCCGCCGGGATCTGCTCGTATCTCCCGGGCAGCCCAGGCCTGGGCATCACACTTGGCGACCCTAGCAGGGGAAGCAATACTGTCGATTTAGGGGATCGTTTTTTCCATATTTGTTACCGCCCTTGTTCTGTCTATTAGTGTCGACTCGATGTGTCGCTGTCGCAGCCAGGGGCGGAACCAGGGCAGTAGGAAGTGGAAAGAGGAGGGGGAGAGAGGCTTAAGCACATTGAAGCCCCCATTATACTTTTCATATAGGGGTTAAGCTGCACCCCTCCCCCAAAACCATGTATAGAGCTTGTCCTTCTAAATTTGATGTTCTAGTGTGTCGTTTCTATTCGCCACTCAGCCCATAATTTTATTCACTTAAATAAGACTTACGCATTTGAGCCATTTTCCCCCTCTAGAAATTTTGTAAGAGGTTCAGAATTACCCATCTCTAAATTGTCTTTGTCTGGGCTCCCCTGGGCTCAACGTGCACTTGTATCTTTAAGTCTTTACACCAGGTCGTGCAAGTAACAGCAGGACACACAAACACACATTTCCGACTAAACGAGATCAGCTGAATGAATCCAACATGCTGGTTCCTGGTGGCAGACATGGCATCACAGAAGGACATCTCTGGTGTTACGGATTAAATCGTTTCTGTCGGATCTTCCATCCACGGCTACCCGGGGAGACATGCGCCATTTATCACCTGCTACCAGTGGACCTTTGACCTCCTTCGGTGCTGATGAAAATGTCCCCCCCCCCCTTTCCCCCTTCAGTTTTTAACTTAGCTGTTGCTTGTCATGTCTAAGTTTGTGAAAGTCTCATCATCACTATCACCATCATCGTCATCCTCTTCCATCACTCTATTCACGAGTGCTGCTTTTCAGAGATCCCTTTGAGTAGTCGCATCAGCTAAGGAGTTCAGTCTTGGTGAAACTCTCTGGGCATGCGGTAAGCAGCTCTGAGAGAGTCCCAGTCGTGCTGTGCAATTATTGTAAGTTATCCTCTGACCTTTAAACTGTTACAACATGGAAGGTAAATTATAGCGTTACTGGGGACATAGCAGCGTCCGTGGCTTAGGCGTTGCGAGTCCGACTCGTAATTCCAAAGTACCACGATCGAAACCCATTGCTGACCACATTACCCATCTAGTGCCGATTGGTTTGTAAAAATATGGTTACTCTTTCCCATATGCCCGATACGCCTAAAGGCGGGAAACATGATATTTACTTATTTTACTTTACTTAGGGACACACATTTACTTAAAGAAGCAGGTAGAATTCTACTGTAACCGTATTGTGCCCCAGAGTAACTATTTTATAGGGCTGAGGTTTTTTTTTTTTTTTTTGCATTTGCTCCTGTTGCATTCGCATTCAAGTAAGTTACTCGTGCGACTCTGTGACTTAACGGTTAGTGAATGCAGTTAACAATGTTATGATTCTCGGTAACTTGAGTTCGTTCCCCGCGGTGGAAAGTATAAAAGGGAAACATTCTCGTGGTTTTCGGATGGAAGTACGAGAAGCGCACCGTGGAAGATATTGGTGCCTCACCACGTAATATTCCCAAAGACAACAATGGTATATTGTAGAAACCTTTATTGTGGAGGCGGTACAGACAAGTTTTTAGTATTCTTAGACAGCATGAAGTTTTTATGATATATGTCTGTATGTAAGTTGTACAACACCAGGACATCACACATAGCGATAAACACCCGGTGACACAAAGTGCCATCATGCGGATGAGGATCACCCGTGGGAATGTCCCGGAAACCCCGTCAGCTGTTAGGCCTTATTCCAGGCCCGGCTATATTTAGGGCCCCCGCCAAAAGACAGGGTGGGGCTTCAAGATAACTAAAATTGCATTCAACAATGGGATGAAGAGATTATCAACACGATATACAGTGACTGTGTTAAATCATTGGGTGCAAGTTGTGCTGGTATCCAGAAATGTAATTATGTTTTTAAAAATTAGGCTCTGACAGTTAGTATTTTTCCTTTCCCGAAAAACCTAGGTAACACACGAGCTCCTTTTTGTATTCACTGACTATCACAGGTATCAAATCGGAAGCTGAAGTTTTAGCCAATACACTTATCATATACAATATCACCCATCTGTCCCTCAAGCCCTGATTGGACAAGTTATTCAATGGAGCAATGGATACACAAAAGGCTCTTCTGTCACGACAAGCAGTCGGTGAGGGTCACTTCACATGAAAACTGGACTGGTCTGACACGCTTATCTTCTCTCTCTCTCTCTCTCTCTCTCTCTCTCTCTCTCTCTCTCTCTCTCTCTCTCTCTCTCTTTTTTTTTTTTTTTACTCTCTCGCTCGCAGTATCAGTAGTAGTAGAAGCAGCAGTATCAGTAGTAGTAGCATTAGCAGCAGCAGTAGTATAAGTAGTAGCAGAGCAGCAGTATCAGTATTAGTAGCAGAGCAGTAGTATCAGTATTAGTAGCAGAGCAGTAGTAGCAGTATCAGTATTAGTAGCAGAGCAGTAGTAGTAGCAGAGCAGCAGTATCAGTAGTAGTAGCAGAGCAGCAGTATCAGTAGTAGTAGCAGAGCAGTAGTAGCAGTATCAGTATTAGTAGCAGAGCAGTATTAGTAGCAGAGCAGTATTAGTAGCAGAGCAGTATTAGTAGCAGAGCAGTATTAGTAGCAGAGCAGTAGCAGCAGTATCAGTATTAGTAGCAGAGCAGTAGCAGCAGTATCAGTATTAGTAGCAGAGCAGTATCAGTATTAGTAGCAGAGCAGTATTAGTAGCAGAGCAGTAGCAGCAGTATCAGTATTAGTAGCAGAGCAGTAGCAGCAGTATCAGTATTAGTAGCAGAGCAGTATTAGTAGCAGAGCAGTATTAGTAGCAGAGCAGTATTAGTAGCAGAGCAGTAGTAGTAGCAGAGCAGTAGTAGTAACAGAGCA